CGGCGCCAGCGGGGCCCGCAAGGTCACCGTCCACCCCTCCTCCCGGGCAGCCGGACTCACACCCAGGGCTGCGAACGGCGGCTGCGGCATTTGGGAAGCGCCCGCTGACTCACCACCATTGGACAACTTTTACTCCCGCACAGCCAAACTTTAAGATCATTTAAATAGAAACAGAGAACGCTCAGATCCACCCGCTCTTCACAGTGCCTCGCAGGTCTGACCGATCTTCGCAGGGAAACACACAGCAGGTGCCAGAGAGAGACAAGACAGAGACAGAGGCAGAGCTCCACATTACTTGTTATTGTTCTAGCTTTTAAAACATCTGAGTAAACATTCTTGGATTCTCCAAATTTCTCAGAATGGGTAAATTATAAGGCTGAGAAATGAAGCTTGGGATGCTTACCAATGGGGTTTGGTGCCATTTTGTAAATAAGCTTTTCATCATATTCCTTGAACATCTTTGAGACCCCTGTATATGATATGTACCCTAATATGTAGAACAGAATTTGATTGAAATACAACACATATATCAATTGACAAGTACTACAGTAATTCCAAGGTAAACATCTGATCTTGAATACAATACCATGCCCCTCCTTGCACCAATTTTACTTGGGAGGAGAGGTAAATTATCTTTGGTTAAAAGTTACTCGAGAAGGAAAATTCTACGAAATACAAATTTACTACTTATCGTTCCTGTACTTAATACATGTCCACTCTCTGTACAGTTTCCTTTAAATCTTCAGTAACCTTATGTAGTATATATAACGTCACACTGCGCCCCCCACCAAGAATTTTATGTCTCAAAGAAATACACTGCCTTACCCTAGTTTCATGCCTCCCAGGAAAGCCGAGGTTTGATCCCTCATTGACCTGACCAACTCCTTCCACGACCCCTTGGTATTGTTGGTTTTCCAGTATGTGATTCTTGGGTGTACCCTAGAAGCCTGTGCTTCCCATAACTCAAAGGTGAGAAAAATATAGTCTGTCTTCTCAAAGTAGTTAGGCTCCAACTGAAGAGTAAAAGCAGTAAAACTAAACACAATTGTGAATGTGGACATTTGAAATGGGCAGCTATTGTTTGTAGCGTTACAAATGAGGAGGGAAGAGGAATTCTGGGCATGGACAAAACTGCACAGAAGAGAAGACACAAAAGGCTCTCAGCAAAGGGCAAGTGGGCCGTGTTCCAGGGAATGACAAACTCTTGAAGGACATCACCTGGGCCTTAAGAGAGGCTGAGGAGCAAATAATAGGGAGCCATTGAAGGTGTTTCAGCAGAGACTAACACTTAGCATGAGTCTTCTGAGGTATCTGTGGAAAGGGAATCAGAACAAGCAAAAGTTGATAAGACCAGTTTGAAGTTCATCATAAGAATCCAGGCCAGGATTAAGAAAGTCTGAATTTGTCAAATTGTGTAAATCACAAATAGCCTGTAATATATGCCCAGCATAAATTAAGCCTTCAAGTAAAGACTTAATGATAACGATCCTACTCTGGACTGTTTATTCAAAAGAATTCAGAAGGTATTTTAAGGAGATATTTGCTTAGTCATGTTCACTGAAGCATTGTCCAAAAATAGCCAGAAGGTGGAAAACAAATGTCTATGCACAAATAGTATATATATATCCCCTGTATATACACATATATGTACATTTATGTGCATATATACATACACATACATATATATTCATATATGTACATATATAAAGAGAGAGAGAGAATTGTGCAGCCTTTCAAAAGAAGAGAATCCTGTCACATGATGCCAGATGGGTGAGTCTGTAGAACATTATGTTGAGGGATAAAACCCGTCACAGGAGGAAAAAAATACTGTGTCATTCCACTGACATGAAGTATCTAAAATAATCAAAATTATAGGAATTCAATATAAGCACTGTTGTCAAGGACTGGAGGAAGAGTGGAAGGAAGAAATAGTGATTAAATGGATACAACGTTTCAGTTTTGCAAGATGAAAAAACTGTAGATTTCTGTTACAACACTATTGAACTACATACTGAAAATGATTGACTTATCAATGTTATCTTTTTTCTTTTTTAGTCTTTGCAGCATTGTGCATCAAACGAGGGCCTAGTGCAACCTAGACACTCCCACTGAGCTACTTCTCCAGTCCCTTAAATGGGTGAGATGGCAAACTCAGTTTATTACGGCAATTTTTTAAAAGTAGTTATAAAGTGTTTTCGTCATATACAGCTATGGTGGGACTGAAAACAAACAAGAAATTAAAGGTCTCTATTTTCCAGAGACTCAATAATATAAGGAAAGAGCCAGGGATTTAGTTTGGTGTTTCTGCCACCTTCCTCCCAATCTCAAGGATCTGAGTTTGATCCCCGGTGCCAAAAAACAAACCAACAACAACATATATATATGGAAACTGACTTTAATGTCAAGCAGAGTAGGAAAAGTATATTAATTGAAGATATTTCCCATAAAAGATTGAGGAAAGGAGAACAAATTCCAGTTGGTTTTTTTTTCCAGTCTGGAAGTCCTTGTTGAAGAGGTTCTGGGAGTCATTATATAGTTATTCAAAGTTCAACAGATATGATGGTATTTGAAAATGGGGATTGAGATCAGGCAGGAAAAAGAAACATCAACCTCTTTAAAAATAATAATTTAGGGGCTGGGGATTTGGCCAATGGTTCTGTTGCCTGCCTCACAAGTGCAAGGGCCCGAGTTTGATCCCTGGTACCAAAAATAAACAAAACAAAAAAAACAAACCCAAAAAGTCATAATTGATATACTTCATTTTAGAAAAGTTTTAAGCTTACAAAATATAGGAAGTGTAGAGAGTTCTCATATATCACCCTTTCCCCACCCCTCACAGTTTTTCCTGTTATTAACACCTGCAACAGTATATCACAGTGCACTGATGACCCAATGTTGACACATTATCACTAAGCTCCATCGTTGACATTAGAATGCACACTTTACATCATAGCTTTTGATAAAACCATGTCATGTATCCTCCAGCACAATATCACAGAACAATTTCACTACCCTGAAAATCATCTATGCTCTACCTATTCACCACCCCACCCAGTTTTTTCTTGCTGTAGCCATCAGTATGTAGTGCCTACTTGATTGGTTTTGGGGACCCCCCCATTCCCTAGCAATCGGTAGAAGCATATGCTTCTGGGTGTGTCTCGGTGGGTCACAGAGACATGGCCTCAGAGTCCAAGTCTTGTCCATCATCCCTTCCTTCCCCTGCCCTGCTTCCTGGAATCCATGAAGCAAGTATCTTTGGTCTGCCATACCTCTCAGCCATGATGTTTCTGCCTTGAAGCCAGCCTACCATGGACTGAGTTTGCAGAAACCATGAGCCAAATTAAACCTCTCCTCTAAATTGTGGTTGTCAGGTATTGTATCTCAGAAAGAAAAGTATCTTTGTATCTTGAGAAAGAAAAGTAATGCATCATGGCAACTACCAATCTCTTTACTGTCTACAAGTTTGCCCTTTCCAGAATGCCATATAGTTGGAATTATACAACGCATAGCTGGTTTTGGCTGGCTTCTTTCAGGTAGTAATGTGTGTTTAAGTTCTCTCTACATTTTGTGATGGCTTGATACTTCATCTCTTCTTATCCTTGAGTAATGTTTTCTTGTGTGTACATGGTTTGTTTATCCTTTCACATATTCAAAGACATCTTAGTTGTTTCTAGTTGCCTAGCAACTGATGAGTAGGGTTTGTGTCTGTTTAAGTTTTCAAGTAAAAACCTAAGAGCGTGATTACTGAATTTATGAGAAGCCTGATATATAGCTGGTAAGAAACTGCCAAACATTCTTTCAAAGTGACTTTATCATTTTGCTTTCTCGACAGAAGAGTTCATTTTGCTATCCAATGCTCATTAACATTTAATGAGGTCAGGAGTTTATTTTAGCCATTCTAATAGATATGTAGTGGCATTTCATTGTTTTCATTTGCAATTCCTTCATTTAAAAAAGGATGTTAAATATCTTACTCATATGAGCATTTGCCATCAGATATCTTTTCAGAACTTTTGTCCATTTTATAAATCATCTTATCTTCTTATTGAATTTTAAATTTTCTTCATATATTTTAGTTATAAGTCTTCTGTTTTTTGTTTTTGTTTTGTTTTGTGGTACCGGGGATTGAACTCAGGTCCTTATGCCTAGTTATAAGTCTTCTGTGATTGTAAGTGTTAGTCATTCTGTAACCTGTTTTTTCATTCTTTTAACAATTTCTTTCACAGAGAAGTTTTTAATTTCAATGAAGAATAAACTATCACCTTTTTCTTTCTTAGATCATTTCTTTAATGTTCTAGTTCTATCTAAAAAATTATCACTGAACCCAACTGTGTTTCATAAAGTTTATAGAATTGCATTTTACATTTAGGTCTATTATTGTTTTTTTGAGCTAACTTTTTATGAAAAGTACAATATTCGTATCTAAATATTTCAGTACTATTTCTTAAAAAGACTATAAAAGGCATATATCTTCTATTTGATGCTTAGTTGTAAAGTTTTTTAAAAGATTATTATATGGTTCTGGCCACATTACTATTTTACAACTACACACCTACAATTGGATGCTGAAAGAGGTATCTTTGTTCCATCTCAGGGAACAGTGAATTAAAGATAATGAATCTTGCCTTATTCAACAAGCTTTAAAGTTAAATCCAGTTATATTTTGATTATATAAACCTATATGTAATTCTAATAATCTATACTTTGCAATAAGTTATTGTGCATTGCAAATGATTATCCACTAACTTGATTTTCAAATACTAGATTTTCTAAAATGATAGACACTTTCATGCAGCACAAAGGGACATAAGCATGAAGAAGAAAGGAATTCTTCTGTGTGAAATGGCATTTCTCACCTCCAGCAGTAAGCCCTCACTGCTACAAGTATGTGCGCTCAGTGTAAAATGCTATGAACTGTCATCCAGCCTCAGGCCTACCTAGAGACAGAAAATACACAGGTTAAAATGAAAGGCCTGTGATGTATTTGTCCTGAAATAAATTTTAATAAGCATTGTAAATTAAACATCATTTCAGATGTACCTGATTTACCTACTAAGCTAGTTATTGCTCCTAAAATTTAAAGGTCTCAAAGAAAGCATCAAATAGCTCCCACACACAAGACAGATCTGACAGACTAGGCAGATGGACTAGGCAGATTCTTAACTTGCTGGCGATTAAGAAACACTTTAAAACCCTTCAGAAGACAGTGGTGTGGCTGAGTTTTCCTGGTCTGGAGTGAGAC